AAAAAAAACGGACGGGGAGGGGGGGGGGGGGGGTTATCAAGGCAATTGCAACAGTTTTAGCCTCTTAGATCATTTTTTTAAATGTGCAAATCTGTCTTTTAACATGCTCCCCATTCTGACCAGAGCTTCCACTACTTTTCCAACTGCATGTGTTTTGCACCCGTTTACATCTGCCCTTGTTCTGTGGTTGTCTGAAACTGGAGCATCACCCAACAAAACAATCGCAACTTAAGAAGTCCCCGTGACCACTTCTTCTAGACGCGACAGTTACGCTTTTTGCCCGGAGTTACAAGTCTTCTTTCCTGGAGTCTATTAAACCTCATTTATCAACAACATTACACTCTCATCATAAATCTGGCGCAAAGTGCATCAAATATATTCCGTGCAAGTTCAAACACTCGCAATTACTATGATAAATTCCCCCCACAATATATTTATAATGAAGGTGGTACAGAAGGGGTGTAAACATGGGGGACTTCCTAATACTTTCATTCTTTATTAATACGGTAAAACAACTCTCAGCACTGTTGAACCTTCTGTTGCAAAGCTTTAGGTTGGGTAGAACACATTTTATAAGCATCCTTTCCTGACACCCACATGGCTGCATACAATGGGTATTGCTCCGCCCCCAGCCCAATCATAGGACCAGTTATACTATAAATTAAAGCCCTCCTCCCAAAGCCAAAATTCTCGTAACAAGTACTCAATGCAAAAGCCATGGGAGGGTCCTGTATGCTGCCTTGTATTGGCGTCAGGAAAGGAAAATTACCGATAGGTAAAGTATACAATTTTCCGTTTTTATATTGCAATGTATGAAAATCCGCACTCAACAGCCAGGACCTCAATGTAAAAAAGTTTATTCCCCGGAATCTACAATGTCACCAGCATGAGAAGTGCTGGTGACATTGAGTGCTTTATAAGGATGCTTATAAAATGTTTTTAAATGTTCTACACATCCAAAAGCTTTGCAAAAGAAGGTATAATAGTGCTGAGAGTTGTTTTACAGCATTAATAAAGAATGAAAGTATTAGGAAGTCCCCCATGTTTACACCCCTTCTGTACCACCTTCATTAGAAGATTCACAAGCACAGAGACTCTATGATTGAAACATGTCAGAGTCTGTGAATCTTCTCATGTTTGTAACATTGTAGATTCCGGGGAATAAACTTTTTTGTACATTGAGGTCCTGGCTGTCGAGTGCGGCTTTACATACATCGGATTACTGGTGTCGGCCGTGGCATGCCTCTGTCAGCCAGCACCCGGCTTTTTGGATGGGATCAATGAGTTTGGGCATACGAATGTGAGCGGTGTCCTTTTCACAAACTTTTTTATTCTTTATATTTTATACATTTTATCCAATTAGAGAGACCTTCTTAATGGGAATTTCAGATCTCTAGTCATTTCTTAAACTATCTGTCTCATTACTGTCTCATTATCTGTCTCATTACTCAGTAGATTTGGGGCAATTTCTGAAACATAGTAACATGGAATGCACACAGCAGGAGCAACACAGACCAACCTCCGGCCATGAACATACCCAGTAGCAGTCTGTCCTTATCTTTGCAGTCTGGTGTGTTCCAGGGATTGGTACAAGAAGCCCATGGCAGGACATAGACCAGGGAGGCGAACAGATAGAAGAGGGTGTAACACATGATGATGTTGTAATAAATGGCGATCAGTACTGATATGATGAGCATCGCAATTCCACAGCCTGGGGAGTAAACACAGCAATAAAGTGACATTTTTTTCTCAAGAATATAATTTCATTTTAAATAAATCTTTGCCACTCACATATTAAAAGTAGGATTAAAAAAATCAGCATGGCAAAAAACAAAATTAGATGATGAATGTCTGAGAACAGGATGGGAGGTATAAAGTTTGTGTAGTAATCCCATTCCTGGTGGCAGGCACTCTGCACAGGTGTCACTCCTTCGATTTACATGGCTGAAGGTGTGAATTGTTCACAGATTGTCCGGGTGGAAATGTTAAAACAGCATTATGTGCAGATTTCATGACACCAAGGATGGGATTATGTAACTAGAACAGGTCATAACAACTTTAACACCTCCCATCCCATCCTCAGACAATCAGCATCTACACATTCCATGGTGATTGGATGAAGGTGCTACCTGTGTGGTTATAAATACTGGGGTATGTTCCTTTATTGGTAGGCAATTAATGCAGGGGTATATTCCTGGTATAGTGGGGGTATAAATAATGGGGTATGTTTCTGGTATTGTGGGGATAAAAAATACTGGGGTATGTTCCTAGTATGGGGAAGGTATAACTACTGGGGTATGTTCCTGATATTGGGTGGGAGTATACATGGTCGGGTATGTTCCTGGTATGGTAGGGGCATAAATGTTGGGGTTTGTTCCCGGTATGGGGGAGACACCCCTTCTGTACCACCTTCATTAGAAGATTCACAAGCACAGAGACTCTATGATTGAAACATGTCAGAGTCTGTGAATCTTCTCATGTTTGTAACATTGTAGATTCCGGGGAATAAACTTTTTTGTACATTGAGGTCCTGGCTGTCGAGTGCGGCTTTACATACATCGGATTACTGGTGTCGGCCGTGGCATGCCTCTGTCAGCCAGCACCCGGCTTTTTGGATGGGATCAATGAGTTTGGGCATACGAATGTGAGCGGTGTCCTTTTCACAAACTTTTTTATTCTTTATATTTTATACATTTTATCCAATTAGAGAGACCTTCTTAATGGGAATTTCAGATCTCTAGTCATTTCTTAAACTATCTGTCTCATTACTGTCTCATTATCTGTCTCATTACTCAGTAGATTTGGGGCAATTTCTGAAACATAGTAACATGGAATGCACACAGCAGGAGCAACACAGACCAACCTCCGGCCATGAACATACCCAGTAGCAGTCTGTCCTTATCTTTGCAGTCTGGTGTGTTCCAGGGATTGGTACAAGAAGCCCATGGCAGGACATAGACCAGGGAGGCGAACAGATAGAAGAGGGTGTAACACATGATGATGTTGTAATAAATGGCGATCAGTACTGATATGATGAGCATCGCAATTCCACAGCCTGGGGAGTAAACACAGCAATAAAGTGACATTTTTTTCTCAAGAATATAATTTCATTTTAAATAAATCTTTGCCACTCACATATTAAAAGTAGGATTAAAAAAATCAGCATGGCAAAAAACAAAATTAGATGATGAATGTCTGAGAACAGGATGGGAGGTATAAAGTTTGTGTAGTAATCCCATTCCTGGTGGCAGGCACTCTGCACAGGTGTCACTCCTTCGATTTACATGGCTGAAGGTGTGAATTGTTCACAGATTGTCCGGGTGGAAATGTTAAAACAGCATTATGTGCAGATTTCATGACACCAAGGATGGGATTATGTAACTAGAACAGGTCATAACAACTTTAACACCTCCCATCCCATCCTCAGACAATCAGCATCTACACATTCCATGGTGATTGGATGAAGGTGCTACCTGTGTGGTTATAAATACTGGGGTATGTTCCTTTATTGGTAGGCAATTAATGCAGGGGTATATTCCTGGTATAGTGGGGGTATAAATAATGGGGTATGTTTCTGGTATTGTGGGGATAAAAAATACTGGGGTATGTTCCTAGTATGGGGAAGGTATAACTACTGGGGTATGTTCCTGATATTGGGTGGGAGTATACATGGTCGGGTATGTTCCTGGTATGGTAGGGGCATAAATGTTGGGGTTTGTTCCCGGTATGGGGGAGGTATACATTCTGGGGTATGTTTCTGGTATGGTGGGAGATATAAATGCTGGGGTATGTTCCTGTATTGGTAGGGAATTAATCCTGGGGTATGTTCCTGGTATGGGGGGTATAAATGCTGGGGTATGTTCCTGGTATGGGGGAGGTATAAATGCTGGGGTACGTTCCAGTTATGGGGAGGTTTAAATGCTGGGGTATGTTCCTAGTATGGTGGGAGGTATAAATGCTGGGGTATGTTCCCGGTATGGGGGAGGTATAAATGCTGGGGTATGTTCCTGGTATGGGGGAGGTATAAATGCTGGGGTATGTTCCTGGTATGGGGGAGGTATAAATGCTGGGGTATGTTCCTGGTATGGGGGGGATAAATGCTGGGGTATGTTCCTTGTATGGGGGGGGTATAAATGCTGGGGTATGTTCCTTGTATGGGGGAGGTATAAATGCTGGGGTATGTTCCCGGTATGGGGAGGTATAAATGCTGGGGTATGTTCCCGGTATGGGGGAGGTATAAATGCTGGGGTATGTTCCTGATATGGTGGGGGTATAAATGCTGGGGTATGTTCCTGGTATGGTGGGGTATAAATACTGGGATAAGCTCCTGGTATGGTGGGGTATGTTCCTGGTACGGTGAGGGTACAAAATTATAATAGAGATTAAAACACAAACCGATAAATGAAATAAATGTGAAATACGCCTAAAACTTAAGTCCATCCAAATAAGGAAAACAAAGCGCAGATCCTTTATAAAGCAGATCAATGAGCGGAAAGTTTCCTCCCGTGAAATGTCACTGAGGTAAATTTTTTCTTTTCAAGGCGAATCGGCGACATCAGTTCAGTTACAATCATTGGGCTCGTCTGTAATCAGAATGAACCCATCACACGGATTACAGACATGGACTCTGATATACAAGGGCAATGTAACCAGCACACAGAGAGCGAAGATCTGATATCAGGAAATCGAATTCCTCCATCACAGATACAACAAGAAATCTCATATAACAATGACACCTGAGGGGGGATTATTCTAGAACATAGAGGAGAGAGATCACTTTGAATCTGGTGCACAATGCACATAAAAGATAAAACTGGAATATAATCGGCTTATATTTTGCTTTCTCCGGTTCCACAGCAACATGCTAATGATATTTTTAAATTAAACTTTTCCCTTTGCATTACATACACAGTGATGTCATCACTAGTTGTCTGTGCTGCTCTATGTAATGCAGGCAGCTCATGGCTGGGGGGAAAGGCTAGCATGATGCTGTACATAGCTTCCTGAAAACATCACAGCACCCTGCTTCAGAATTCCTCTCAAGAGCCCTCAGACCTGATGCAAGCAGTAGGCCGGCCCTTGGGAGGGGTAATGGAAATATCAAAATGCCTTGATGGGCGGGTGTCAGTCTGGAGGAGTGGGCGTTCCTAGGCAGGCTGTATTTGCACCCACATGTGATGATGAGCCTCCGTGATTGACCCAACAGAAATCCAATGAATGAAAGGGACGGGGCCAGGGGCAATCTGGCTGGGAAGGAAAGGAGCTAGATGATGCTGGATGCCCTCCAGCCAGAAAATGAGGCGGGCCCTGAGGTTACGGTAGATCCTTTCAACTCTCCAGAACCTTTTCTTGCACTAAAAGATGAAAAATCAAAGTGACAATCAACAGATAATAATCTATTAAATCTATGACGGTCAGTGGATTCTGTGGGGGGCTGGGGGTCAGAGGGACAGGAAGTGTGCCCACTGCAATACCCGTCAATGAAATTCAGAGGGGGGGATTAAAGAACACCACAATCTTCCACCAAGCACCAGAAGCTGATGGGATAGAAGAAGCCGAGGTTGGGGTTCTGCTATAGATCTTCCCGGTGTAGCACACACAGACTGGGGGGGACCTGAGAAACCTCAACCAAATGTCCACTTCGCCCAATTCCATCCAGTACTGGACCTGTCATCTATACAGGAGCGCCACACCGAGAGATCACATAATACAGAGAAAGGAACTTCATACAGGTAAAGGACACGGAACCCAGACATGACAATACCGACGTTCTATGACTGGGACATGGAGGACTACATACAACATGAGACCTGCGTCCCAAGAGAGAACGTCTGAAATATGAAGAAAGGAAAATCTTTGTATCCAAGTATACAAAGGCGCGAGCGTCATCGCTGAAAATACAGAACATAGAATATAGGACGATGGTAAGAAATCAGCAAATCTGACATAGGGCTCAATTCACAAAGCTAACTCACCGGGATAAGTGGACAGACTTGCAAAAAAAGTGACAGTTGTTTTCCTCTGTGTCCAATGAGACTCAGAAATTCCAGTCACATGACTAAAGTAAAGATACTTATTCTTGTGTTAAAGCTTTGTGAATCCAGAAAAGAGCAGAGTGATCTAGAGCAGTGGTTCTCAACCTGTGTGACCTCAAGACCCACATTTGTCCCTGGTCATTAGTCGTGGCCCAAATTGCACTGCAATGGAACGCAGTGTGGGCTGCTGTGACAGAGCTCCATCCATATGTGCATCCACTTATTCTGGCTCCTGGCCCCTCTACAGGGTGTGCAAGGAAGCTGTATGTTACATCACTCCGGTCAAGCTCCGGAGCTTGTCTGTTTGCCTGAGGACGGGGCCGCATGGTCCCGAAACGTCGCTATGGAGATGTGTGTTATCTCAGTCAATAAACAGCATTGACTTTAATATCATGGAGTGCGAGTGACTACTTTCATCTATCTACATTTTACAGAGGCATCAGTTGTCACCACCGCACCCACCCAGTTGGATTTGGGTTTTTGTCCGGTCAGGAGTGCGATGGGACAGGAGGATTAACAATCTAGAATAACCACATGGCAGATAATACATGTACTCTAGTAAGAATGGTAAGAGATTTCAACACAGAGCATGGATTGGGTACAATATATGTGATATGGAAGATGTAAAGGTTAAAAAATAGAAACAAATGCTCTAGTGTTCCCATAATGTAGATGACACAATAGCATTAGGTGAAGGTAATGAATGACAGCCGTTTCAAGACCTCCGGCCATTCTAGATGGACACACACAGAATCCAGTATAAGATGATCCATACTGAGCAGCGTTACCTTGAAGGGCCGGGATGGCTTTCCACACAGAGATGGGCCCCTGACTGGCAAACTGCCCCAGAGACACCTCCAGTAAGAAGATGGGGATCCCCGCCAGTGCCAACATGATCAGGTAGGGGATGAGAAAAGCTCCTGAGAAGACAAATAAAGCGTTAATGCACCAATATTGAACTCAGGCCCGCCATTGCAGGCTGATGCTGAAGACAGACGGACTTATTTCATGTGACGATGTTACATTTGTATGTGTATGGCATGTGACAATGTGCCATAGTGTGAGTGTTGTTCAAACTGCACACCCCTCTTCATAAACCGCATGCAACTTCATAAACTGGATAACATCAGCATATAATGAAAAAAAAATGTCCATCAGTCAGACCACATGCTAAAATGATAGTACAGTACATGATAGTAAAATGGTAGCACAAGATATATAGGCAGCCAAAGTTGTTTGCCAATCTTGACTGCTTCTATAAAGTTCTACCTCACAAGTCTCTTTATTGACACCACTGACACCAACAATGGGGCACTATTCCTCCCATTGACACTAATGATGGGGCACTATTCTTCCCATTGACACTAATGATGGGGCACTATTCCTTCCACTAACACCAAGAAGGGGCACAATTCCTCCCATTGACACCAATGATGGGGCACTATTCCTCCCATTGACACTAATGATGGGGCACTATTCCTTCCACTAACACCAAGAAGGGGGCACTATTCCTCCCATTGACACTAATGATGGGCCACTATTCCTCCCACTGACACCAACAATGGGGCACTATTCCTTCCACTGACACCAACAATGGGGTACTATTCCTTCCACTAACACCAAGAAGGGGGCACTATTCCTCCCATTGACACTAATGATGGGACACTATTCCTCCCACTGACACCAACAATGGGGCACTTTTCCTCCCACTGACACCAAGAAGGGGGTACTATTCCCCCTATTGACAACAATGATGGGGCACTATTACTTCCACTGACCTCAACAATGAAGCACTACTCCTTCTACTGACCCCAACAATGGGGTACTATACCTCCCATTGACACCAATGATTGGGCACTATTCCTCCCACTGACACCAATGATAATACCTATTCCTCCTCCCACTAACGACAGGCACTAGGCCATACTTTATTCCCTCTGTTTACCTGCCTTGGGGCATGTTTTGTTCCCTCTGACCACCGAACCTGGGCTGTTGTTTAGTCTCACAGTTTGGGAGCATTTTTTTACTCCCACCTACCACATTTCCCCCTCACCTTAGGGCCCCAAGGATAGTGAACTGGCCCTTTTTTTAGAGGGTTTAAATTCAGCCCCCTGTAGTGGTAGTAGACAGATCAGGAGTAAGGATGGGCTGCATGTTCGAGTCGCACATAGGTTCGACTCGAACATTGCATGTTCTAGCGTTCGCCGAACGCCGAACATTATGGGATGTCCGCGGTCTGTTCGACCCAGGCACATCCCACAATGCACTGCGCCGTCCGAAAACGGTAATTGGCTACAGTCCTGCACCTGACCGCAGGTCAGGTGCAAGACTGTGCCAATCAGGGCTCAGTACAAATGTAGAGCCATGATTGGGCAGAGTCACGATGACTCTGCCCAATCATGTCTCACAGCTAAGTCCCTGCAGCACACTATATAAGGCTGCTGACACCGCGGCCCCATGTAGTGTGTTGTAGGAGATAGAGAGGGTTCTAGTATAGTTAGTTACAGTCAGCAGATAGATAGAGAGTTATAGATAGTTATAGAGAGTTATAATAGACTTATAACTTATATATATATATATATA